ATTGATTCAATGCATATTGACGGCCGTTATAGCTGGAAATCGCACTCACGAACGCCATATATAAATGCCTCGGCAATTATATTTTTACTGGTCTTAATTGTCATATGGCTAATGGAACGGCGTGATTTGAATGGCGTTATTATGACGTCATTGGTGCTAAGATGACTTTGGAACACTGTCCCCGATATACCTTTCCCATTTTCACGGGCGTGTGGCTTAGAAACTAGAGAGGCTTTGTCTTAAGAAGGGTGCGATGGTGAATAACGCTGCAACGCCTTCAAGATGACTATTTCAGCTCAAAACCCCAGACAAGTATAAAGTACTTGCTTTAATTTTGGGCTGATTTTAAACTCCCTCGGGGCTTTGGCGAAGATATTTCTGTTTCCATGGCACCTTAACGAAACTAAACATACGTGGATGGGAACACGCTGCTGACAGTGCGTATTTACGAAAGTGCTAGGTATACATATATCGCCAGTAACAATGGCATAAGAACGGTAGAAAATCGGATGCCCAAATGGACTCGTGCGGCTGAGCAGAGTAGAGCTGACTCTGACCCACAATGCGCGTGGCTGATTCTGACTCGTAACTCCTTTTAACACCAGCCTACTGCTGTCTGAGAATGACACTGACTTTGAGCACAGGATCACTTTTCCCAATTTCAACTCTTTTATTTCTGACGTTGTTCAACATGTCAGTTAGCAGATGCACACCAGCAACCAATGCGAGCTAACCGGTAATCACATTCATCACGTATGATCTCCGCTTCAGAAAGATCATCGCGACTCGGCAGCGGCCATTGAGCAACTTTGTTGCGTAATTATCAGTCTCAGACACAGTTCTGACCGATGTGTTCTGCTTGACAAACAATGAACAAAGCAATGTGAACAAGGTACACCTGCTGTATTCTACGTGACGTCGCGTAGGATCTTTGCCGGACGTGTCCGCAACGCGACACGTTTTCTACTTGCATCTGCGAAACTGTCGTGAAATAACAGCGTATGTAACGACACTAAGATTTTGGCTGCAAATGCTTCGCAAGGTATTAGCAAGGGAAATCGCCATTTATGCTGTTTGTAATGTAGACACGTTGATTTGCGTGTCACCACCATCGGTCGGTCCGAAGCACACAAAGTGACGTGTTTGTAATTGAATATGTGATGCCATAGCTGCCTCACTTCGATCGAGTCGCGCAAAAAGATTCCGCATGTCCAGCAAAGATTCTACGTGACGTCACGTGGAATCTTTGTCTTCCGGATTGCCGCGAATGCCTAAAGGCACTAAATCTATGGTGTGTGAGATTGTCAATAGTGTCCACGACTTAGATTTTTTGTCGTCCGGGTCCCTGCGAATACCTCTAGGTTGTTAACAACCGCCGCGCAGTAAAACGGAATTGACACCAAGAACATAATGCAAAAGCAGGTCCCATCTCCTATAAAATGGGATCCTCTTTAGGACGGATAAAGGAAGTATCACATGTAATGGTAAGCTCACATGTGGCCTTTTGTATAATTCAATAGAAAAAACTCATCCAATTAATTTCTGCCCACTAAGTACCTTTTGTGACGTCAGAGTCGCTGCCAGAGTTGCTGTGCCAGAGTTGCCGCTTTAGCAGACGGCATGACTCACTTGTGATATACTACACGCCGCAAGATGGCGTTGCTGGCTTATGCATGCAACTTTAAAACACGGACGCTGTGCACGTGGGTGCATTTGCTTTTTACTGCGAAGGCATGTCTTTTTGCTTGCATTTGCATTCTCGGTTACGGTGCTATTTTTTATTTTTCGATTTTAGCCTCATGCTTGTCAAATGTTGTGGTTGGCCAAAAGCCTGTACTCTCTATAACAAAACGCGGTTCGTGATTAAGAATATTATCAGTAGCACCGTCTAACTGTTAGCCAACTGTCTTTTATCGTTAGACCACCTGGTTCTGCATTACTGCAAATACAAATGTTTAAAACGAGTGTTCCACATTTGTATCGGTTGTTGAATTGAAGTAGTCGTTTTAAAGAGCATTCAGTGCAGTTCACAGCCTTGCCCTTCTTGACACCTAAACCCCTCTGGTTTTTTTAGTTACACCCCCGCGAAAGAGTGTAAACTTTTTTTAGGAAGGCTTCAAAGGTCACTCAGGCATTCATTACACCATGATGACGTCATTCAAATTCTGCCATTCCATTAGCCATGCGGCGATCAAAAGCAAAAAAATGTGGTCGTCGGGTCGTCACATGTGGTGTTTCTCAGCACGATTTCCAGGCACAACGGCCATCAATTGGCTTCAATCAATATTACGCAAGGTACAATGAAGCAACTAAACAATGGCCTGTTCAGGAGCACATCTACTGAACAGATAATTTGTGTCGTCTAGAGCAGTCTTTTCCACTTAAAAGCCTATCAATGGATATAAGTGAACTTGTTTCATCGTATCTGATGTTTGTTTCAATGTCTTCGGAACTGGAACATTGCCTTTAAGTATCCATATTTGTCTTGACCATGAGCACAATAAACCGAACGAGGTGTTGTCTTTGCGTCACTTTGCAATGACGTCATAATGTCCGGATGACCTTCAAATAATTGATGCGTAATAGGCTGCACACGTTCAAGTTTATGAAGCTCAGAAACAAGAGGATGTGAAGTCTAAAAAATGGCATGGTTATGAACTGCAGAGGTTAATCAAGGCGATATCTATTTCGATTGAAAACTGCACACAAATGTCCCCATGCAAATGTCAACACCGCAAGCAAATGTCGGTTCCTTTAAAAACCGGGCGGTGTGCTATTTTTAGATTGGCGAGTTCCAGTTTTGGCGAGCTGGCCGGTCTTACGTGGTCAGGGTGCATGGCACGCAGGAGAAACGACACTTTTGGTCGTGATGACAGGGTTTATCCAGCACCAAGGAGGTCACAGTAACTCAGCTACATCTCGTCTCAGTGAACATCATCTCAGAATACACGACGTTTTGATTACTCATCCTTCTTCACTCGCGCCGCAGCGGACGGCAAATCCTTTTTGCGTCATGCTCAGCGTCGGCCGCGCTGCAAACGATTAGTGGAACATTGCTTATTGGTGCACAATAATGTCGAGGCTAGCAAAGAGGCACGGGCTAGCTATGCAAACGCGCACGCCATCCACCGTCGCAACAACCTATGACATCACAGGCTGCAACGCCATACGACGATGTATAACGCTCTAGTTCGAATACGGACGAAAAGTAGAATCAGCTGATTGAGCGAACGGAGGCCTATGAGAGCAGCAATTACGCACTTCAATGTGATCACATTACACAGTTCCTGGCAAGCTTTGCGGGGAAAAACTCGTCATCAATCATGCAATCCATACGAGGCCGACAGCTGACTATGTGCCCCAACATGCACGACCGTCGACAGGCATTGATTGCTTCCAAATGCTGCCGTATACACAGCGGTGACTTACCACAATCAGGCCGTATCTCAGTCATGACTATCCCATGTCGCAAGCTATGACTGGCCTGATGCAGTTAATTTCGGCCGCTTTCCACAACGCCGGTACGCCTCTGTGTTGTCTGAGTCGTGAAGACGGTGTTGTGCCCGGAGCGTTCCCAGGCTTAGGAAGCATGTCAAGGCGCAGTCAGGATCGAAACAGAATACGAGCGATTGCGATAAGCACATAGTTTTAGAAAATTAAGCAGGTGTTGTTTTCATTGCGATGGAGAACGGCGGCACAAAGCTACGTCTAGCAAAATAAATGGGATGCCTGTGAGTTTTTGTTGTTTGGTGAAGTCAGAGCCCCGTCACCCTGACAAAAGCTTTGGAACTGTGAGCAAGGAATTAAGGAATGTTACCGCAGTCAGTCTTCAGTTATCATCATGTCCACCCTGACTGGGTTAGCCATGTGGCCGCGGCAGGCCACAAGGTCACAGACCGCGTGTCGTGTCTGTATCGCCGTTTCAGCTTTGTGTTTGCGCTGTTTCAGCTGCGGCGATGGAGAGCCTTCCGCTGTTGTTGGCCATGCTGAGTGCGGCCTTCTGCGCCACAATGGCCGCCACGGGGGCAAAGGTCTCCACCCAGTCTGGCGATGTCAGCGGAGCCAAACTTAAGTCATTTGTCGGCAAAAGCTACTTCTCGTTCAAAGGCATGCTATTTTCGTCAGCTCTATTATAATTTTACAGTAAAGTTCTGCGCTGTGCGAATCGACGGCAGCCTGTGTGGCGTGTGCGACCTTGTTTCTTGTCTGCTGTTTTTATGTGGATGTTTGGGTTGGCGTGATTATTTAGTCAACCATGAAGGTTTGAGCAGCACAGAGAACGGAAGAAGATGCCGCACCGAAATAATTACGCCACCGTTTGGAACGGTTCATGGTTATCAGAGGTGTCTTTTCTTTGTCAGTTCGTCTGTAATGCCACGGTTCTTCTTGGTACTCACTGGGTGTGCTGTTGGTGTTCAAACATGTCAGCAGACTACACCGCATGGTAGAGCTGGACCCAACATAAGAATATAGGCTTCGCGACCGGTGGTTGATAAGAAAAAACATATAATTGACAACACGGACCAGGAATGAAAACATCAATGTATGCACACCCTCCCAAACATCACAAAGTCTTGCGTTATGTTTAGAAAAAAACTGACCGAAGACGTAGCACGCATAAGTGATAAACGCAGTGTACCGATTCACGCTCTAAGATTTTCACCACATGCACCGCACATTCATCGCACGCATTGCTTGGTACCAAAATATCTAAATCTGCATCAACCTGAACACAGGCCATAAAACCATCGCCACTGCGTGGGGAAAAGCTGCTTCTGGTCTTGAGTGTTGACGTTCTGCGACGCATTGCTCGTCCTCGCGCCGACGAATTCTCACCCGCGTCGCCCCCTCCGCAGGCATTCCGTTCGCTGAGCCTCCACTGGGGCCGATGCGGTTCCGGGCGTCACAGCCCCACCAGGGCTGGACGGGAGTCCGCGACGCCAAGAAACACGGCAGCAAGTGTCTCCAGTATAGCTTGCTCTCAGCCGGGGCGTTGGAGGGCGACGAGGACTGCTTGTTCGTGAACGTGTACACACCCAGTCTGCCCGCCGAAGGGGAGCACCCGGAGCTGCCTGTGATGGTGTGGATCCACGGCGGCGGTTTCGTCACCGGCTCCGGGGACGCCGACTTCTACGGACCGGACTACTTCATGGACGAGCAGGTGGTGCTTGTGACGTTCAACTACCGGCTGGGTCCGTTCGGCTTCCTGACCACTGCGGATGCCAACGCCCCCGGCAACTACGGCCTGCACGACCAGGTACTCGCGCTCGAGTGGGTGCAGGCCAACATCGAGGCGTTCGGCGGCAATCGCGACGACGTCACCATCTTCGGCGAGTCGGCCGGCGGCGCCAGCGTGGGCCTGCAGGTGCTGAGCCCGCGCTCGCGAGGCCTCTTCGCCAAGGCCATCAGCCAGTCAGGGGCGTCGTTCTGCAACTTCGGCGCCAGCGGGGAGCCTCAGGGAAAGGCTGCCGATCAGCTGGCCACCTTGCTGAAGTGCTCTACGGCTAGCAGCCGCGAACTGGTCGGATGCATGCGACAGCGGCCCGCCAAAGAGATCCTCAGGTCACTCGGCGAGATGATAAAGGATGACCCCGTGGTCCAGTTGCCTATCCACTTCAAGCCGCGCGTAGACCGCGAGTCACAGATGCCGTTCCTCCCGCGGGATCCGTACATCTCGCTTCGCGACGGTCAATTCAACCTGGTGCCGTGGATGACCGGCCTGAACCGGGACGAGGCTGCGTTCTTCGTTGGCCAGAAGCGTTTGAAGCCGGAGTCCTTGGCGGCGTGCAGCGGTCGTGACTGGGGCCGCTGGGCGTCCAGTATCCTCCAGCTCACGGGCGTCACCACCACGCCCGCCGTCGTCGCCGAAAAGATCTACCGGCAATACTTCGGCGACGCCGGCTGCGGCGAGGAGAACCTGCAGCCGCTCAGCGACATGCTCAGCGACCGTTGGTTCACGGCGTGCATCACGAGCGAGGCGAACCTGGCCGCTGCCCACACGCCGGTGTACATGTATGTCCTGGACCACACGGGGCCGGGCCGCCAGAATTTTCTGCGCATGATGGCCCGGCTGATGGGGAAGCTGGAGTCCTACAGGGACCTGGGCGTGCCGCACGCGGAGGACCTGCTGTACCTCTTTAAACCGGTGTTCGGACCGCCGATCGCGCGCGACTCGGACGAGCACAAGATGATTCGATTCATGGTGTCGATGTGGACGAACTTCGCGCGCCGCGGGTACCCGAGCACTGACGCGGTGCCCATGCCCAGCTGGCCGATCTACACGGCCAGCCGTCAGGAGCACATGCGACTGAACATGGCACCGTCCGTGGGCCGGGCCGCCTTCAGCGAGCGGGTGGAGTTCTGGAACCAGCTCGACATCCAGGAGAGCTGGCATCTGGCGCTCTTTGACGACAACAACCGCGACGAGCTCTGAGAACACTTGCGGTCGGTGAACCCTCGTGGCACATGATTCAGTTACCAGATGCCGCTTGCGTAGCACTGTCAGTGATTGCGATATGGTATAGATGGATTTCTTTGTGGCGTTCTTTACAACGCCTGGGGCTTGATTCCGTTTGGAGCCTGTAAGCCAGGCTCACACTGCCATCATTGAGTGAGACCCGATCAAACTTCATGGGCATGAAGAAATACCGCCGCCTGACGGCTGAAAACAGTCTTACGTGAAGTATCGATCATGCAAGCATTTTTGCAGGCTTCTATGCCGGTACACCCGAATCAACCAAGGCATCAGTGCCATAGATGCGACACCATGAAAAAGTCGTGGTATGAACTGCACTAGTAAGGAGTAATATTACTGACCGTCAATGGCTATATTCATATGTCTGTAGCCAAATCGTGCTACTACAGGTTATTTTACTTCACTTGCAAGAAATATGATAACCTGACTGACATACGTGTGTACATTACCTTTGACCAACGGGGTGTGTGAGGTGTGAGCGGAATAATAATTGCATACCTTAAGGTAGAAAATTATCCCATCCCAAGTCAAAGAGGGAATTTTTTTTTATAAAACCAAATTTTCGACTTTATATCCTGATATGTCCACGACCATGCCCCTTAACTACATAAAACGTAAGCAGGTGTGTTCCTTGCTATTAGTTATTTTTATTTTCACCTAATTTCCATTTCTAATTAAATTTACCAGTCAATTTCCCTTACTGGTTGCTAAAGTGGTTATGTAATCCGTTCTCTTTTGGTCTCTAGCACTCTTTTCGCTGCATCATTATCATTTGGCTACATCATTTCGTCGACGGAGCGCTCCTTTTCGGCTCAATGGCGAGTATAGGTGCACAGGTTTTTACTCGGAGCTGATAAAGGTCGAGTCCAAGACTGACGTCTTTGCAGATCTCATGCATGGTCGCAAAAATTACTTTCTACACCGGGAGCCGCGCGCTACTGACTCGAGCCACACTGCGCTGGCACTCGATCGTCCGGGGCAGTGCAGGCGGTGCGCGGAGCGTTCGACCCGGCTGAGGTCAAGGTCAACACTGACTTTGGGCTCTTCTGTCTAAGCCGAGTCTCACTAAAAGTATCGGAAAGCAAGGAGGAAGTTGTAGCTGTGACAGTGACAGGCTGATGGGATCTCAGCAGAAGCACTATCACTTCGGGCAAACACGAGTAGTAAAGGACCCAACTGTTTGCACAACTTGTAAACAGCTAGATGCCTACCAGCAACGCGCTTGTTCGACGTGGGGCGAGCCAAGAGGTAAAAGACATGGGAGACATGGGAGACACGCCCACCTACACCGAGGGGTTGTTTTTGCGTCTTTATCTGCTCTGCTGCTGATATCTGACATCAGTCCTGTACGATCGACAAAAGCGAGGGCATCCGTGGATTGTATTTAAGTAGTCGTCGGCACCATGACACATCAAGCAGCACTATTGCTCGTACAATTGCCCATGCTCTCCCCCCGTCAAACGGTGTTCGCTTCGTGTTTCCGCGAATAGGTCGGACCTGTAGTTCTATTAATTTTTAGGCCCGTTAGTGAGGTATGGCTGCCACACTCTGCTGATGATTTCATGTCTAGATTTTGGCCAGGTTAGTGAGGTCTCACGTCAGTCCTTGAAAGCGTCCGAAAACCGGTGGATATGTGGTTTGCATGCGACAGCGCGTAATCGTCTACACGAATTCACACACACGTTGCCACGTACGATCGTCTGTTCCTCCCCCGTCAGAATGCGTTTGTCGCGTGTCATCGCGGCGCCAGGTTGTCGCGATCTGGATCCGGTGTTGACCAATGCTCTTCAGCCGTCAAACAATTGTACAATTTTTTGTTTTCCATGTAAGTCGCAGGGGCAGTGAAATCATTGTAATATTGCAATGTTGCAGAGAGCATGCCTTGTCTTACAGCTTGAAAACAAGTGCCTAATAATTCAAGCTGCGTAATATTTAAACGAACGTCCGCCCTCTTGCGCTGAGCATGCAGGAGCACGCAATTAGTGGTTGCAAATAAATTAGCATATAAATAGCATGAAGACCGGCCTGGGCCGATTCGGTCTGCCCGAACTGAAGATGTTCTCAGTGTTCGGGTAAGGCTCGTTTGCTCTCCGGCTCCGCTCGCAGGGTCGTTGGGAAAACTAACATGTTCTGTGGCCATCTGCCATCCAAGGCCCATCGATCATGCTCTCCGTCCGGTTTCCCATCCCATCTCCCATCTCCCATCGGTGGTCTCGCTTTTGTTCACATCGCGCTGATGGTCCCGTGTTACGTGCGCCGGCGCAGGCCGATAGGTGTGGATGTTTTTTATTGTCCTTCAGGAGAAGACTGCTTTGAGGTCGTTCCAACACGTTGGATCTCCTGCTGAGTCGGGTGCTTATGGAACGGACAGTTCAAGACGATTGGGTAATGGAATAAGATGCGGGGAGCGCCAACAAAATTTCAACATGACCAAGAAATACACAGTAAACGAGGGATGTTGTGTCTTTTGCATATTCCCTGATATGGCTGGAGGGTTTGTCGAGGGCAACAACGTTCGTAATGATAATTCATTTTATTTCGCACCACCAGGCTGGTACATATATTAGCACATACGGGCATAAAAACACAACACACACACGCAAGAGCAAGACAGCAGGCAAAGCACTCAAGACTTGCTTGACACGTCAGCGAATCTTACCCAGGGTCATGACCCAGTTCACGCAATTGGTGGCGATCACGGACAAACCGACCCAGGTGGGTGATGAAGATGTTCCGAACATCTGACTTGCTGACTGCCTGGAGGTCCGGTGCAATGGGATCATACTTTTGTCGGATATGCACATGTGTTCTGGCAATGATTCCGCTTACCCCTTCTTCGCTTGCACGCAATGCTTTAACAACGCTGTCCTCGCCGGACATGTGTCTTTGGTTGAAAATCAGCTGCCGACTAGTCACTAGCATGGAACATGGAAGAACCTGGACCTCTTTACACAGGTCATGGTTCCTTGTCCAGTGTGGCACCCTTACCAGCCTATTTATACATGAGTGGTGGGCCATACAAAGCTCTTGAAATGCTTGCTTTCCACTCACAGTGTTCCACAATTCACAACCATGCATGTGGGTGCGATATGCTTTAAACAGTTGAATCAAAACGTTCCTGTTTGCAAAGCAAAGCCTAGCAAATAGCATATTTGATCTGTAATACAAGGAACGTTTCAATCTACGCAGATCTGACTGTCACTGATATTACTGGCCAGTACATGTCCTAAATATCTTAACTCCCCCAACTACACAAGACTGCAGTCATCAGGAATGATACTTGGGAACTTGGAATTAGACGGGTGTGTCACTGCATATGGCTTTTGAAGATGACAAAGCACAAACACAGTTTTCTTTACATTGAACTAAATATCCCTGGACATGGCAAATATTTCACACCTCTGTACCAACACTTCAAGCCCCATCCCCTCTGTGGGAGACAAGATCACAATATCATCATCATAGGCTAGTACATTCCCTGCACATTTCCCCATATCACACCCAATTGGTAGCGTTTCAAGATCACAAAGAAGTTCATCTATGTACACATTAGACAGTAGTGGTGAGAGTTTTTGCTGCACACTATTATGTACAAAGAAAGGATCGGGCACACTGTCTGATCACTTAATTCCCATCTCTGGGTTCCGAATCACCTTAGAAATAGCTCTAGATATGCTGAAGGAACACCACAACCTGCGAGGATATGGAAGAGTTTGGATGAAATACTTTATCAAATGCTTTGCTGACATCTAGAGAACAGGCATAAACAGGACTGCCCATTTTGGTGTAAGAGGCAACTGTTTCATTGTGGGCATAAGCTGCATGAGCGATCGCGTGTCCAGCCTTCATGCCAAACTGGGCACCGCTTGTAGGCAGAACAAGTTGCAGTCTCTCAACGACAATGAGTTCCAATACTTTTGACAGAGTTTGTTTGGTTGTTTGTTTTTGTCGCTAGGCATGGACAACACTACACGGCAAATTTATATCTAAGGTAATCTAACCTTATCGGATTCCATCTGGAGTCTTTTGCCGTCAAGCCGAGTCAGACTGAAAAACTATGAAAAAATAAGCATGCGCTGATAGTCAAGGTCATTTGCACCCGGTGGTTCCCAGGTGCGCATCCTCTGGTTATCAGATTTACTACATGTATTTATATGTGTGGACACACTTTGGCACTTCAAACTTTGGGGAAATGAAGTCAAACTACATAGATCGAGCACATGTGATGCGGTTTTACGCCATGCAAGGCATTTCGAACGCTTGCAAAGCACTGACCGAGTTTTCAACGAAAAGAGCTGGGTATTCCCTCACCCCATTGTGTGTCCCCATGTACGTCCCTGCATATACCGTCTTCTAAGTGTCAATGACCAGTATTAAGTTTCAAACATTTTTGCTCAATCTTGTTAAAGCCAGTCAAATCAACCAAGTCCAACTAAAACCATTCGAAACGAGCCTAACGCACCCAATCTGTCAAAACTCTACTTTTGAAGTAGTCTACTCTACTACTACTAAGTAGTCTACTCACTCTACTAGTGAAGAATCAAAACTCTACTATTTATTCATAGGTCTATAGCAAACCACCTCTGTCATGGGTGCGATTTGCTGTTGTAAGTGCACCCTCCAAACATGGTGGAAAGCATAAATGCGAATCACGTTTTAGTTCACGTCCTAATTTTCGAGGATGTTCGAAATGGAATCAAGAGCTGAAACCGTGTCCCCTAGCTTGAGTCCGAGTTAACGTTTTTCTTCACACTAGTGAGTTCAAGTCCGACTCATCCCCGTTCAGCATATGACACAAACAGCACATCTTCAAAGCCTTCATTCCCAATTTACATACCACGTGAACAATCCAACAATCTTCCAAAACGCCCACGAACTTCACAGTGGTGAACGGTGTCCTGCGTGCGTGAGAATCGGTCAAGGCGTTAGAAATACGTATGCACGACATGACCTGTGAGAATAATAAAAGGGGAAAGCCCAGTGCTGGTCTGAAATGTTGATCACGTAATTTTGAATAAAAATATGTAAACTTGATTTCCGAATATCCTGTATGAGATGCAGTTTTGCTCCCCAGTGCTATCTACATCATGACAGATCCCAATAGTTAACCTGATCGTATTTTTGATTTTGTTTCCAAACCTGGGATACTCATTACTGAAACATGAGACACTACGCGCACCAATTGGGTGGTCTATCCATTCCGTTTCACAGCGCATGATCTCTTGCCCACCTGAACCCATATGTGTTCAGGTGTGCAGCACGGCTGCGTGCTGTTGCCTCAGCCGCGCTATATCTGTCCTGTGCTGTCACGACCCTCGGCTGCTCAGTGTACAAACAAGCGCCTTTGGAATATATCTGCGCTCGGAGGACCTTCAGCAGAAACCAGAGGGGTGTCACCCTATCATTTAACACTATCGAAAAGTGACAACATCGAGCTTG